CCATGCAAGCAATGACTTTTTTCTCTCGGGCATGTATGATCCGTGCATATGTGCAACTTGAGGTCGACAATGAGGCCAAGGAGACAAAAGGTAGAGACAAATCTGCTTTCGGCGAGGAATATTTCCTTTTACGATGCGGCAACTTGCGTTATAGCAAAAGTGATGAAAAGCTGCGAAGACAGATATCACAAACCAAAGATGTTCTGATGATGTAAATGGTCCAGATGACGATCTCGAAAATATAACGCTGTCAGAGAGGTAATCGACTCGATTAAATTTAAATACTGGCTGTTGGATATAATTAACTACAAACCGCATATAGGGCACAACCAGCACAACATTCTGATAGGAATACTTGCTCAATTCAGCTGACGCAGTAATATAAGGTTATACTTACATGGTAGAATTTGGAAATTTTACTGTAATAGGAGGATCGCCAAAGAAATATGCGTTGACAAATCGTGTTAGGTCTCTTGTAGGAATGAAACCAGATTCACAGATGCTGTGAATCACTGTGAAGTTTTCTGTAAGAGAAGAAATAACGGGTATGAAGGGCATTTTTAACTCTATCTCAGCACGATAATGATATTGAAGAATTGAATATGATTCAAAGTACCGGCAGCAGAGACAAAGTTTCAACTAAAGATAGTTCATATAACGAAACGCTGCAACTTCCAGAAGACAGAAATGTGACATACTCTCGCCTGCGAAATTTTGTTGCCCCAAGTTGTAAAACCATATAGAGGGCTTAATTCAGTGTTTAGATTTTCACAGAGTCGTCATAAAATCGAAAATAATCGCAAGTAAAGATGCAAACTGTTAGACTTAAAGCCAGACGGTTCAAGTATACAGAAAACAGCATTCTATCGCCCTCCTTGAATCCTTAAAACTTGCGCGATTGGCAAACCAGGACCACTGAAAAAAATCTGACATTCGAAGACCTGAAAGGCATAGAGGGTGATGATGAATCTTTAAGTCTGTTAACAGAAGACATATTTTTCTTCTAATCAAAACAGTTTACAAACTATTAAAATTTCTGAACATAATCGGCAGGCAAGTTAACTGAAAACAAACATCCATACATGGAACCTGAAATTTCGCCGAAACATTTCAACGCTCTGAATCTCAAATCGATAACATAAAAGCAGGGGTTATTGAAACGAAGTGCGAAACACTGACTCATTCAGTGGCTGCGAAGCTCAAACGCTTAACTG